ATATTTTTGGATTGTAACAATTTTTTTTTAAATAAGTTCTACTATTTAATCCATGGCTGGGAGGGAAGAGGTGGATTCATACTGTGCATAAGTGGATATAACAAACCCAACTGGAATTGGAACATATATCTTCAATATCTCATTCTGAGCTGTTATCCATTACACCACCTGCATATCCAAGAGTTGCTTAACTTTGGTGATCATAAGAGAATCAGCATGATCTGGCCATAAGCTTATTTAAACTATGAACCGAGGGTCTAATTTACATGGATTATGCATTTTGTTTTTTGGTATTGATAAGGTTGCAGTTTTCATTGTATAATGTTCTGCTTTATATTTTCTACTGAATTAAGTCACATTGGCAGCAAGGAAGATTGTCTAAAATCTTTTTCATCATTAAGCTAGGGACTTGTTAATTTTCTAGATATTTCTTGTAGTAATATTTCTTTTAATACAAATTGAAGATATCCTTCAAATATTTATATAAAGCATCAATTGCATTAATTTGTTGATAATTTCATAAATACTTGGTGAGATCCTGTTTTTCTTCATGTTTGAGAAATATAATAAAAAGGTCAAATGTCAATACCTGTGCTCAAATTTGTTATACTACACTGATTTTATTGAAAATTATCAGATAAAAAAATCTCAAATGTTTAATTTTTTTTCTTTGCCAGTAAAAGTCACTAAATATAGATAGAAGCATTTGTTTATTCTATACTTATATAATTCATTTACTTTGTCTACTAATAAAGTTGTAGCAACTTTTATCATTTTAATGCATTTGCTACTATGTCATACACATCCTGATATTAAAAAGTTTGTACATGCTATTTTTTTTTTTTTTTAAGTTATAACCTGTTGCAGGGAGAACCTGCAACAGAGTATATATATGTTAAGTTTTGTAGAAAAAGAAATTTTAATTTAATACTGGGAAAATTACATAGGCATGTTTCAGTCAATTTATGAAAAAGTTATGGTTAGCCAAAGTTTGAAGTCAAATATCTACAAAAAGTGCACAAAAAAAGCCTTAATTTTCAGATGGCGATATCCATCTTGTGGCATGGTGTGTATTGCATCTGATGTGTATATACAGGCGATATAAATAGCCTTGATAATTCATGAAGCCCAGTTTCTTGAATATATATTTTTTTATTATGCTTTTTTTAAATTTTTTTATTTTATCATTTCACACCAAGCAAGGCAATAAATTCACTAAGATGTAAGGTGTTTCTGAGAGTAATAGAATATAACAAAAAAAAAACTGTTAAGGAGAGAGAACAATAAAAGAATAGAAAATAATAAGATAGAAGGTAATGATTGACATTGCATTTAAATTTTTGAAGATCAAAACTTGATCAGATGGTAAGATTCTGGAAGAGAGTTCCACAAGTAAGAAGTGTGATAAAAGAAACTGTCAGCATAGAACTTACTGTTACATCTAGCTATTTCAACGGTAAAATGATGAAACCTATCAGCCAATCTAGTATTGTGCTTAAAAAGCTTAAATTCATAAAATGTAGGTACTATAGAAGAAAGGTTTGAGACAATGACCATGGAAATATTCGTAGAAAATGATTCTTGATTAAGGAATGAGATTCCAACAGTAATTTTTTGCAATAGCAATAATAACTTGGAGTAAAAAGAATAAAGATTTATTGTTCCCTGAAGTTTTGCTTATGTTTTTTTTCTTTTTATTATTTCTCTTAATCATAAAATAGCCCTTTTGATGTTTGTACATTTTTTTTTTTTTAACTTGAGCAGTTTAAAAAAGAAATCTGCCATGATATATAAATATCACATTAACAGTTTTAAAAAAAAATGTTGCTTATCAACTTCTTCTCTTTTATGTAGTTTTCAGTTGTCCATTTGAGCTTTTTTTTCTTCTTTTGATAATGAGTTTAACTCTTACTCCTGCAAATTCACTTCCTCTTTATGCTCGTATATTTTGAGCTAAAACTTGACTCGCCTACCTTTTTGTGTAGGTGAGGGGCTTGTTTGACTTGAAAACCAGCCTTCAAAGTGTACCTTTTTAACCGTGCTATATATATATATATATATATATATATATATATATATATATATATATATATAATATAAAAAAAAAAAAAAAACTATTGTTGCTTGTAGGAAATATGTAACTATTTCAACTACAAATCAAGATTTTGGACTCGTGCTGATTGGCAAAGTTTTCATGGAAATATACATATATGAAGAACTCCATGAGAAATTTCTAATAATTCTAAAGTGCTTGTTAACTATAACTTTAATTTGTGGTGCTTCATAGTGTCATGGTCAAATGTAAAGAATTTAAGTATTTTGTTAGGGGGGGAAAAAAAACAAAACTTTACACTGTCTCCTTTGCAGTGTCCCAATATGGAATACCAGTAGTTTTTTTGAGGACACAATGAAAACAATGTCTGTACTTTTTCCAGTTGGTGGGTACTGTTAAAATTACCACATACACACTAATGATGATTACATAATAAAGATGTTGACTTTCTAAACTACCTTAAATGAAAGATTAGGAAGAGAACTCCCTTCAATACTAGAAAAAGCAATAATGGAGTACACTTGAAAAACTTATTTTTCTTAAAAACTGTTTTAAGAGAAAGATTTAAATTTCAACTGATAGTAACACTAATTCTTCACTCAATGAATGCCAAATATGTTTCCTTTTAAGGAAACGATTAATCTTGTCATTACCATAATGTGTGTGAGTATGCATAATTATTAGAAAAAACAAAAACTTTTCACACTTTTTTAATGTCAAAGAGAGATCAAAGATGGTTAAAATCTTTACTTTTTATTTATATCCTGGTTATCTTCATATATACATATGTACATATTTTATTTTTGTGCTGTAGTTTTTATATAACAACCGGCGAAATATTGGTGAATGCTTAGGTATATTTATATGCATAAAAATTTTTAAATTGATGCGGTTAGTCTCTGGTACTTGGCTGACGTTCTTTAATTTTATATTCTGTTTGTTTAATATAAAAATCTATTTGTTGTATAATAAGAATATAGACAAAACTAAAAATGAGGTCGTTTATTTTCCAATCAAATTATTCAACCATGAATAACACAATTTTTGTTGATTTTTTTTTTTTTTTTTTTTTATAGCTCTGATGTTAATATTAATCAGTATTAAAACAGCTTTCAAAAGAGATACAACTTGACCATATTGGGAGATATTAAAATGTTAGCATATAGTGGCAGATGCCAAAAGAGCAAATTTTAGATCTATCCAAGTACTTTAACCAGTCTAATGGACATATCACTGGAACCTTTTGACTTTGAGATTTAAAATAGGCATCATTCAATTTGTATCATGAACTTCTATAAGTGAACCAAATTTGGGAGAGGAAGAGAAAAACTAACAAAAACAAGCTTGTTGATTTGACATGGAATGACTTGTGTGAGATATATATGTGTGTGTGTCAAACAGCCAATATAAAATATAAGTAAAACAAAACAAAACTCATGTTACTGCTTCTCATGAAGATGATGATGATGATGTTGTCTCACGATCCTCAGGTGGTAAAAGTGATGAGATACTCAGTACTTTATTAAATATTATTATTGTTAAATAAGGAACTGCATCTTGTGACTCTTACTACCTGAGGATTGTGAGGTCACATCATCAATATCTAAGTGACCACATGAAACTTTAAGTCATGGGAATCAGTAACATGAGTATTGTTTTACTTATATATATGTGCATGTATATATGATTAGGAAGGTCTGTGAAAAAATCTTTTTGTGTGGCATTTTTTTACCTTTAGGACTTCATTAAAGTGATGTTTAAGACAAAGTTCTAAAGGATGAAATGCATTATATGAAAAAATTTCCCCCTTTGTCATTGATTGTTTTTTGTTCCCCCACCCCCAACAGTGTTTTGGTATAAAATTTGTCCCCCCCACCCAACATATAATTTGAGTAAAAACGAAAGTTCCTTGCTTTTTTTTTTTTTTTTACTTAATTTCTCACTTAATTTCTCAATATTTCTAATAATTATTTGATTTCTGCTAAGAAACTGTAAATAATACTTTTCATGTCTATCAACTAACACTAGCCATTTTCAAAGACATTTGCTGTCTGTTTAAATTTTTTCAATAACCTGATTTGTGTGTTGGCTTTTATTATGTGTGTTCTTGCCTTCTGTTAAAAAAGAAATTGTATGAAATATATTTAGTATGTTGTGTCTGAGGTTTGATATAATTTTGCTAATCTTGGGATGGTTGCTTTTTATGCTCAGTGCCTCTCTCTCATACATATATTTGTAAAAAAAAAAAAATAAATAAAAATGTTGAGAGGTAGATTTTAGTTTCTTTTATGGTTGCATTGGAAGAGGAGTTGAAAAAAAAATGACAAGAAGTGGAATGTTTATTCATTGTGTATTTTCATTGGTTAAACAGTGGTTTGGTGTGTGACCACAAATCATCTGAAAAATGAGAAAAATAACCACTCACCCAGGGGAAAATAGATCATTCTTGTTTTCAAACTAATAATTTGTGGTCACATGTATTTTTATTTTCTTTCAAGTGAATTGAAAAATTTTATTTATATATATATATATATATATATATATATATATATATTTTATTTTTTATTCTCTTTCAATGCTCTGTTCCTTCAACAGATAATTTTTTTTTTTTTTTAATAAGTAAGAAAGATGTCTAATTTACTGATTGAAATTCTATTGAAAACACCAACATTGTTATGATTGTTTTGAACACAAATATTCCTTTCTGTTCCAATGTATTAATACCCATATATTACAAATGGCACTGCCAATCCTTCAGCAATAAGGAGGATGATGATAACAACATATAAAGCATTTTGTTTCAGGTAAAGAGTGAGTATATGCCAAATGCAGAAAATCAAGAATAAAGCAAAAGCAAACTATTTGTATTGTTTCTATTGGTTTGATGTTCTCTTCAATTTAACTTGTTACTTTTATTTTTATGTTTTTCTATTATGGCCATTTTCAGGGCTTCACATCTTACATTGACTTGTCTCAAGAGCCCCAGGATGTTCTCTCAAATGTGAGTAAGAAAAACAAAAATTGCAAGATGGGGCCCATTCTGTTGGCCATTATCCCTCATCTCAACTGGCTCTGTCCTAACATCTCTTTCTCACTTTTCTCTACGTTTGCTAATAGAAAATTTGACTTCTTTTTTTTTTTTTTAATATTCTTATTTTTAGTTTGTGCACAAGTTTTGCTGGGAATATTAAACTTTTTGATTTTATTATTGCATTAAATTCTATACACTATTTTGGGATTGATTTTTGACAAGAAGCCACCAGAGAAATTTATTCATCAACTTCCATTTCCAAGTCAGATTTTGGTTTAGCATTGCATAAATATCAGCACAAGTTGGATTCTTTTCTTGAATTTCCTTCTCTTAACCTTTAGCACTCTGCAATATTTATAAAAATGTCATCCATTGGATATAAGTGGCCACACAATTGCAGTAGCATCATCTTTGATTTTCACTTAGTTCTCCTGTTGCCATAGTAGGATATGACAACACTAACACAAAATTCAACCACACTATTCTCTGATGATCAGAGTTATATGCAGTGGCTGTACAAACATTTTGTTTGACAAATAAAGTCAACTATGTAAAGTGTGCTAAAGGTTAATATTTTCCTGATAAAGAGAAAAACAAAGACTAAAACCTTTCTGAAAATAAAACCAGCAAAATGTTTAACTTTTTATTGCTTGAGCAATATTAAAACTGTAGATTATGATGATGGTCTTATTTTATCTGAGGTTGCTTTCATGGGCTTATGGTTAAATTTTTACTGGTGTCTGATTTTTTATTTTTATTTTATTTTCTTTGAGAAAAGTGAATTGTGCATGCTACCCAGAATGTTTGGTTGGAATTTGGTTTTGTTAGAGAACCCATGCTGGCATCTTGTCATCCTTTTAACCTATTATAGTCCTAATACTAGTGCTTTGAAAATGGTACTGTTTTTACTAACAATTCTATATTACTGAATTATATAAATAAAAAAAGATTGTATGTTTTTAGGGCTTAATTTAGGGAGTCAGTGAGTTTCCTTGTCCCACAAATATATTGTTTTCTTTTGTCTAACTAACACTCCCTAGACACAAACTTAGAGAACTAAATATATACCTCATATAACATTGATAGACACTGTAATATAGATTGATATAGAACTCTGTATTTTCTTAACTTGAATCATGTATTTGTGATTATAGAATCATTTTTGATTTGATTGCTTCTTGTCTTCACTTCAACTATAAAACATAATGACTGTAGCAAGAAAAAAAAATCCTCAGTTCATTGAACTCTATTGTTTTTTTTTTTCTTTCCTATCTTTTCAGTTGCCTTTTAATATCTGTCTCCATTGCACATTGGTTCAGAAAAATTAATAGTAAGCCTGTGTGTGTGTGATTGAGATGGATATTGATGGCAGTTGAAATGAAGACAGGAAAAGAAATTCGAAAAGAATAGTCTGATATCAAATAAGTTTTCCTCTGCCACCCAAAGTCAATTATGTTTTCATTGGTTAAAGTGAAGTCAGAAAGAAAGCATTAAAAAAAAAATACTTGTGTTTTCAGAAGCTTATTTCAATTATGTTCCTTTCTGAAGGTGAAAATGCTACACTATACTTTGGTCCAGTCTCTGATAAATTAACCTTTATCATACTGTAATGGGATTTCATTTACTGTGCAGAAAGTTTATCCTGCTACTGAAAGTGGCTCTGACCGGTGAATTTGAATTAGTTTGAATTTTATAGTTGTGTTGTCATATCCTGCTATGGCAACAGAAAACCCCTTTGAGTAAAATTAACAATAAGGTTATTGCAATTGAAAAATAATGCAATGGAAAGGGGAAGTAATATTAATAATGCATTGTGCTAAAGGTTGTGTTTCTCTGAATGTTCTGCATTTGGCATGAATAGGCAATCTCAACAGATTTTTATATACTTTGCCTTATTGCTTAGTCATAATTATTGATTTTAATTCATTTGCTTTTTCTGTATACAAGGTGTGTCTGGAAAGTTTCCAGCTATTTAGTACAATTAAAAAAGAAAAGAAAAAAATGAGTCTCCTCTTTATGATAATAGCATTGTAAAATTACTTCCAAGTACTCCTTTAGTACCTCTCAAACTTGTCTTAGTGTGGGTCCTTCTATGTTTCAAAACTATCTGCAAAATTTGCTTTTTGAGATTATCAGCTGCTTCATTGCATTCTTCTTAATTTTTCATCAGTGATTTCACATAGTTGGGAAAATACAGAAGTCTTAGAGAAGCTAACAGGGTGTGACTACCATTTGCCAGGCACGCTTAGGAAAGCAATAATAATTTATCACCTGCTTACTGCCAGCAAGAGCCAAGCATTTTTCTATTTTATGAAAACAATTGTATTCTCAGCTTGTTACTTTTTTTTTTTTTTTTTTTTTTTTTTTTTTTTTTTACAGGAAACTTTTGAATTAAATATCCTTAAAAAAACAAACAATGACAAAACTTATATATTCCTCAGATACAAAAAAAAAAAAAACTAAATTTAATTTTTGTTCTTGTCTTTTTTTTTTTTTTTTTTTTTTTTTAATAGTAAGTGGTGGGAAAAAATTACCATATTTTCCGGCTTGCAAGACACACTTTTTTTCCTAAAACATACTCTGAAAAATACATATGCGTCTTTAAGGACCAATGTAAGCCAACACCCAGGCTCAGGTAACCTTAGGCGGTCACCTAATTGGCTTGACTGATAGGGGTGTGGATTTGTATGCTGAGTCATTACACTATAATATTAGCTATCTAATACAGCCTTTTATATGATGTAATCACAGTACTTAGCTGTTATAAGTATTTCCAAGATTATAAACCTTCCTGGAGCCGGTCCACAAACTTAAATATACTCTGTTTATTATCAGCAGTGAGAGCCTTTCTATTCTTGATTAGTATGTCATTGCCATACAAACAAAATTGGACGAGTGATTAATATAAACAATATGTGGCACCAGTATGTGAGGGATGCATGGTGAATCTGCTGTTGTATGAGAATGACTTATTTTTTCTTTTTTTTAAGAAATTTCTTTCCTATATTAGGAGGCATCTTCCAAGCCAGAAAATATGGTACTCTGACTTTTCCTAAGTGTGCCTGCCAAATAGTATTCAAACCACTGACAGGCCTGAGTGATGCAATGTTTTGCACAAGAATTTGTCAAGCTAGTAAAATTTCATTATCATTGAGCAGCCCCTGAATATTCATCTATCATGATGAATGGTCATACTCTCTCAAGCAGGCCTTTTGCTGTGAACGTCTACTGGGACTTTAGTTCATCCCCAGACGTATATACAATTTATTGGTTCCTTGTACCACTCCAAAAGGTACCTGACTCCTCCTGCTGTGCTCTGTCTATACAAGATCCAAATCAAAGCAAGAATGGAGTAGTGTTGCTATATCTAAGCTAGAGCTGCCAAGTCCTCCCTTTCCAGCCTTGATAGGGTTTAGAAGCATCTACTTGGCCTTGTGGGTGATGAATTATTTTCCATTTTACATCCCCTTTTCTGCAGATGAAATGTTACAAGTCTGTTGTTACTCTATTGCTATTTCCATGGTAAATGTTCTTACAAGCTACATTCATTAGTTCCACCAGTTTCAATGTGCCATGACATGTACACTGAGACAAATCAATCTCATTCCCTTTGTATTCCACTAGTAAGGAGGAGGTTCCATTTGTACAGCCTCTTCCCATGAACTGCTACTTTGTTGAATGGACTCCCAAGAGGATGCTTTCCTGATCATTGCAATCTTAATGTCTTCATGTGCAGGGTCAACTATTGGGCTTCTTATTTATCCTTATACTTTGCAGTTCTTACCTCCTCATATATTCATGCAACAACCTCATCCAGTAACCATCTATCTTGTGTGGCTTTTGAGCCTTGTGTTGCTGAATATTTCCACGTATGTTACTACTCTTACCCTTACTAATTTACTCTCTGAGACTTGATAAACACTTCATTTGTGTTTTATTGAGCAAAAAAACTGCTATTTAGAACATGCTTCTTAGGAAGGAACAAATGAGATTTGGTTAGATAGTATTGGGACTGTTGATATCATAACAGAGTTAAAGTATACAGAATGGAGTCTTTTTACACAAACTGAGCTTGAACTCTATCAAACATACACCCTAAGTTATAATATTCTTACTTCAGTTGTTTATAGCAGTGATTGAAAGGAGAGTGTATAGTGTTGTCCTGCCACACCACAGGGGTTTCATCAGTGACTATGGCTTGTGCTGCAGTTTACTGGCCAACCACAACATTCCTCAGGTTTGACAATTACTATATTTTCCAAATCTTGCCCCTTGCAACTTTTTCCTCTTCAAAAATCAAATCCCACTTGAAAAGGACAAGATTGCAAAATGTTGAAGGAATCCAAGAGTATGTGATGAGGCAGCTGCTCACTATCTCAAAAAAGGAGTTCCAGAAATTTTTTTATTAATGGAAACCATACTGGATAAAGTGTGTCGTTTCAGAAGGGGACTACTTTGGAGGAGATTAATGTTGAATTGATATGCATTGTAGTTTTCTTTTCATTGCCCCAAACCTGATACTTTTTTGATCAGACATATTGGCTGAAATGCTAAAAATAACATTAGATGAAGATGACATCAAAAAAATAATATAATCTGAGAATTTCTGATAATTTGTCTATGTCTCATGACTTACAAAGTGGCACTCTGCTAAAAATACAAGAATATAAAATTGGAGCAAGCAACTGGTAAACCATTCCACTTTCATTCCCAAGAAATTGTAGCAATTCACAGATAATAAAGAAAAGGAATCATTGGAAAAACATGATTGCTTATGTTCTGAAGGGGCATTAAAGAAAAATCTTTAATATTCATTAAAGAAAGTTTTAGCAAGGTGACCCTGTGCTGTCTCGGTGAAACTTAGACAAGAGAGAAAATTTATGCATACAAGTAAAGTTTTCCTGACTAAGCAACTGAAGAGGCTTATTGGTATTTAAATAATCGTAATCATTTGCTTTATTACTGTTTAT